AAATGGGCCAGTAGACATTATTCAAATTTATAACAGCGCATCACTTACAAGAATCATTAACAAGAGAAAGGGCTGGCCATAACCCATGAAAAACAAATAGCCTTTCTCACCTTGTTTTTCCTGTTTAAAAGTTTCTCATATCTCCAAACTTTCACTTGCTTTTAGAATGTTTTTAATATAATGCTTAAGTATTGTTTTGTTCAACAATAAGATGAAACATAAACAAAACCCCAAACTTCTCTCTCCCATGCTCCCATCCCATCCTTAGATACTTCAACCCAAAATTTAGGGTGGCCTCATGGAACAGAAGAGTCAGCACAGTCAGGACTATGTACCAGACCGAGGCCCGGAGGGAGGTGGAAGGCACCTGGCAGCTTCCCAGATTAGAGATGGTCCCCTCAATACTTTGATTACTCTAGCTGTTTCTTTTAACTTATTGGAGCTACTTATGCTTTCAGCCCATACGCCTCCTTCAGGCTTAAGCTTCTCACAGTAGCTCTCAATGTACCTGTTCCTAATATTTGGTCTTATGAGACACAGTGTCCTTCAAGATGAAGTATGAGAGTTCCCCAAAATGTAGCTTCTAGCTTTGCCAAATGCCAATGAAATTCCAATCAATGCATATACATCAAAATGAATCCATGGATGTCGAAAACTGCTGCGAACATTGTGGGATTTATTAAAAACTTTATAAGAAACGAAGAGAAGAGGGGATATACTGCATGCCACGCAGCATGTGACTTTATAAACCTCCATGCGTCCATTGCTGTTTATCTAAATTCCTTCTTCAGATTTACTGTCATTCCACGAAGAATTTTTCCTTTCTCTCCACCTCCTCCCCCAACCTACTCTTCACCCACTCTGTTTCCCACTTTTGATCATCGTGTAGAGTCCTCGAGTCTTGGCCTACTTCTTCTTGCTGAAGCTTATTCAAATCTTATTTCAGTAAGATTGATATTTCTCTGCAGGGCAAGACGGAGGTGTGCACCAGCTCCACACAAGGCAGGTAAACATTATGTACCACACACATAACAAAAACATGGGATGGAGGGTCAAGAGATGAACGGAGGGGGAAAGGAGGGCAGGGAAGGGGGATGGAGAGAAGGGATGAATTAAAATGTGTTGTGCACACGTATGATCTTCCAACAAAGAATGCAAACATTATGTACCATACATATGTACAGATAAAATATTCTAGGTCATTCCAGTATATATACACTACAAATTTATTGTTTGTGTTAATTTTCTAGATAAAGAAATGGAGCCAGAAAATAATTGAATTGGCTTCCCAAAAGTCTTAGACAATCTTAGTTTTAGTCTTAACTGGCATCCATATAAATATCTCCACTGTGTTGCCCTCTGGTATTCCTACGTAAACAATTTCGTGCAAAACCATCTGTTTACACCCAGGATTTATCTTTTCTCTGAACTTCCATTTATTTTCCCTTAAATCCTCCGCATTCTTCATCTACAAGAAATGTGGAAGAGATAAAGGGTGGCGGGAAAGCAATTAATCTTTGGCTACTTGCCTCAACTCTAACCTTCTAGATCCATCCGTCAGCATTCCTATCAGGAGCAACATGCTTTGGGGAAAACATGAGAAAAAGCAGAGAGCAGCTGTGCTTTAGTCCCGTGGAAAGCTTATTATGCTCTTCCGAGTTTGGGGATTAGTCAGTGAGAGCCTCCTTCAGAAGTCACTTGTTTCCAGCCCTGTCTTTGCACCCTCTCTTCCCGGGTAATCACATCCAGCGATCCAGTCTCCTGTCCTGCGCAGTCAGAGGGAAGGAGGACCGCGGAGGGAGTGTCTATGCGTGAACGCACCTCTGTTATCAGAAGGAAACCTGTTTTAAAAAGGAATGTTTATAATGCCTGTCATTCTGATGATAACCCGCGGTTTAAATGAACTCAACTTAATGTTTTATCCAATAGTGCTTATGTGCCAAGGCTTCTGCTAGATGCTGGGGATCCAGACCTAGATGAGATAATTTCCTTGCCTTTGACAAAGCTGGACTTCATACGGCAAGATAATTTGGCAGTACTCATCAAGAATCACAAAGAGTCACTTCTGATTGTTTTCAAGATAAAAGCAAATAAATCTACACGAAGAAAGGAGTTTAGTGCAGCATTAATCATTAGCAGAAAGTAAAACAACTTGAAGCTCAGGCTGCTTGTATGTCTGCCTTTCTAACTTCCAAAAATACAAAGAAGTGCAAGTTCACTATGAATTTTTTTATGTAGAGTCCCAAAACTCTTTCATAAAAGAAAAAAGCTAAAAGCACATTTGTATTACAAAATAGCCAAAAAATTCACAAAATGAATGCAATGAAATTGATTATGATAGCTCAACTACATGCAGTAATCAAAATGACAGTTATGAAGGAAACCTAAACATGTTACTAACTCAGTAGAAAATAATTAAGCATAAAACTTTTATTAATCTTGAATATGTTCATGCAACTGTAATTGTACGAGAACAAAATCTGGAAGAAAAAATAGAAGAATGTAAACAGTTATGTTAGGATAATACAATTATAAGCGAACATTTTTAATAATTCAAATATTTTTACAGTAGGAAAATTAGAGGCATAGTTGTCATACTGCATTAAATTCATCATGACCATCTATGAAGAAGAAAGACACATCTATCCTTTATCTTAAAAACTTAAAATTTTCCAGTTTCATTAAGCCTTCATAGCAATTTAGTATTAGAATTTAAAATATAATCTTAACATAAATCTACTGTTGTAATTTTCAGACAAATATAGATTCCAATCTTGCTCCTGACATCTTCACAGGAAAAGTTACTGATATTTTTATGCTTGGTTCTTTCTCTGCAATATGAGAATAAGAATAAAACCTACTTCCATGTGTTATTTTGTTTATATTTATTTATTTTGCTTCAATCAATAAATACCTATTACCTGACTAACAGTAAATATTGGTGGCAGGTGGGAGCATTGTCCAAATCTAAGAGTAAGATCCTTCGAGACCTGTCCAAGGCCTTGAGTTCTCCCCTGTAGATGACACGGCTCTTTACTTCAAGACTTGGGGAAACAGAGCACCCAGGGTCCCTTCGATAAATGGGTTTTTTGGCAGGAAGAGCAAAATTCAAATAAAAGGACAAATAAGTAGCCATTTGTCCCATCTCTGCTCTCTTTCCTTCTAATCTTGAGGTCTAAGTGACACATCCAAGGACCCTATTGGCTGGCCAACAACATAGTCTCCTCTCTGGTCCATGGGACAGGCTGAGCAAATGCTAAAACTAGCAGGGACATTTATTCATGAATTAACTTGGCCAACATCTGCTGAGCCACTGGAGATGAAGAGATCCTTTGAATTCTAAGCTACGTGTGGTAGGTAAGCCTGCACTTCCAGTACTGGGGAAGCTGAGGCAGGAGGACCATGCTTTTAAGGCCAGCCTAGGCTACACAGTGAGAACTTAGGGGTGGGGAATCCTACCATGAAATAGGAAATGTTCACCTTTTCAAGCTGCTAGTTAGGTTTCCTGCACCAAGCTTAAAAACACCTTCACAGAGGCAATTTGCTGCAAATCTCCTGCTTTTTGAGCCTTTCAACAGAAATTAGCTGTCACCACAGGGAAAGGGATTTTGATACAACTATGCAATGCTGTACAATCATCCAAAACTCTACTATGCTCTTTATCTTTGCAGCTCAGTGTTCCTGCTTTGGAATGACTCAGTGAAATGTCTTGGACAGACTACCCTCCTGTCCCACCTACTGTGGTCTTTCAACCACACCCAGACTGTGCTCCCACTCTCTAAATTTCCCAATTCTCAAGTATTTGTCACACTGAGTTACTACAGCACCTCAATTCACTTTCACTTATTAGCGGAGTTCTGTGGACATTACTCATGTTCCTGGCTACTGGAAAATCTGTTGTCATGTCTTTGAACTATCATATAGTATGGTTTCTTTCTTTCTTTTTGGTACTGGGGATTGAACTTGGGCCCTTGTGCTTGTGAGGCAGGTGGCAGAACCACTGAGCCAAACCCTTGGCCCTAGTATGGTTTCTTGTTATCTGGAATCCAATGGATGTAGATTTATGATCAGATATAGATTAGAAAACAAAGTAGCCACTACAAGAAAGACAGTAAACATAAGTTTGTTCTCTCTCTCTCTCTCTCTCTCTCTCTCTCTCTCTCTTCTCCACTAAAGTAGCCACTACAAGAAAGACAGTAAACATAAGTTTGTTCTCTCTCTCTCTCTCTCTCTCTCTCTCTCTCTCTGTCTCCTCCACCCCTCTCTCCAAGGTTTTGCTGTGTAGCTCAGACTGACCTTGAAGCAATAATCTTCCTGCCTCAGTCTTGAACATGCTGGGAGTATAGGCAGAACCTCCATGTCAGCTTTAGGCCTAACTTTATTTCTGCAAACAGCTCTGAATCACGTGTAAGGAGAAACTATACTAGCTATGAAACGGTTACAAAATGGACAAGAAGTAATCATTCAAAAACTTAGGAAACTTACAGTAGAGTGGGAAAGATGGGTGAGATTTCATTAATCAGAATGAGATGCCATTATGAAGATACAAATTAGTTACGTCAAAGCACAAAGAAGGTAGTTATTAACCCTGGGTATTAGACCATATAGTTCAGAGAACATGTTAAAACCATGAGGTTGGAGTCAGACAGGTCTGAGTTAATATTAACTGTAACACTTACTTGTGTTACAGCTTTGTGATTTGAATACGGTATAAACTGTCTCAGCTTATGTAAAAATGGATTTAATAATATTATGTCATAACATTACTGGAGACTGAATAAACTTATACATTTTCACCTTGTGACAAAGTAAATGCTCAACATATTTTTCATTGTGGTTAGGTTACTAAAATGGTTTATCAAAGAAAGCCTACACCAGGATGATTATAAGGTCATTTTTAAAAATAGCCCAAAGCTCTATTCCATGGAGGAAGAAGAAGCCAGATAATCAGAAACTAAAGACTAAAGAGATAAGAAGAATGAAAATGGAATGCTGTATTATTTTGCTAGTATCGTGGTCTTTGGCTGCTGTTCTTGGGCTTGGGTAGGAGCCATTAGCCTGTAGGTCACCGGTCATCTGAAGAATTCCTCAGGTAGCACTGCCACTTCCTCACCCGTTTCCACATCTGTAGAATAATGGTCACAACTATAACTAAAATCCATGTGATTTTATTGAGCACATACCACTAACATGCAGCATAATTCTCTTTTGTCTTTTATGCATCCCTATTATGTAAAATAAAAACAGGAATCATTGCTACTGCTTTAGGAAGTGAGATCTATATAACTGAAGAGGAATATACAAACCCACTGGGTAAAAAATTTTGAGGCTAAGATTTAAACAATAGTCTGAGCTGCAGTTGTTCAACCACACTGGCTTCTCCTCCTTTCACACAACATTTGAACTCAAGTGGCTGCCTCCCTGACTAGTTCAAGAAACACTAGAAATCAGAGATTTTACCCTTGCACATGCATTTATCTCCAGCAATTAATACAAGGGCTGTCATATATTAAGCAGTATTTGATAACTGCCAAAAGTTGAATAAAAGTATAAATTCAATAAATGAATTATTCCTAGAAAATTCAGTGGAATGAATTGTCAATGCATTAAAATAGTCAAAACATGAATCTTGCTAGTCATTATGTATCCTGTAATCTTGCTAAATTCACTCATTGGTTTTTATAGACTTTTATAGATTCTTTAGGATTTTCTACATATACAATCATACCATTTGCAAATAACCAGTTTACCTCTCCCTTTCCTATGTTGATAGTCTATTCTTTTACATTGCTGTACACAAGTCAATTTTTAGAACATAATTCTTTTAAGTATTTGGGAATTTCTTATGATTTCTATGATAGATGAAACACTGTATTAATAGAACCCAAATCTGTTCAAATGAAGTGGACGTTTATTGCTATTTTTATGACACTGACTGTGAGTCCCACAGAGAATAACACTCCCCACGCTGCTGTTCTCCTGTGATGGCTGATGTCTCTGATGTCTGCCTTCCAGTCTGCAAGAAGGAAGAGAAAGATTCCAGTTGAGAAAAGAGTGGAAGTTGTGCATAGCATTGTTATTCATATTTCACCAGAGAAAACACAGTCATAAGATCACACCTACCTGAAAGGGAAGCTGGGAGATATACTCTAGAAGAGTAGCTAGAAAAAGATAGAAAAGGTTGGAGTCAATTTTCAAACAGCCACAATCACCAAGTACGACAGTCCTGTTACTGATCTAAGGATTAGACTTTTGATCATGATTTTCACATGTAGAAAACTACAATCCTTTCCCATGCATAAAAATGCCTTGAACAGAAGGGACAGTCATCCCAGTGTCCTGGTCTCTAACTCCAGAGTACACTAACTCAGTACTGTGCACAAGATCAGGCAGTGAATTACAAGCTTGCATCTGTTGTTTTCCCTGGGGTGTGCTTCCGTTTTTCTTAGGCAGATGCTGCAAGGAAATGAAACACAGCAAAACTATGGAAAGGGAGAGAGAAGCCACTAGGTGCATGCAACATTGTGGCTTCAGGGCAAGGTGACAGCAAGCAGTGGGGATGGAAACAGAACACACCAAGTAGAAGGGCACAGCAGACTGGAAGACTCTCACAAGAGAAAGTATCCCTGGACACCTTTGAGTGTTCTCTAAAAACATCTCAGTGCTGTTGTCAAGGACAGAAACTGGAGTTCGGGAGTGAGACGTGAGGCTGGACATCGCCCCGACGGGATGGGTACAGACACAATAACACCCCGCATGTCCTGCCTGTCGTGCTTAGCTCTCTTCTTCCCATGTCCTACACATCAAAACATGAGTCCGGGGGTGATTTTTGTTCCAATCCAATGAGATTTAAATGAACATGAAGAAAATATCTTTACTGCAAAATGAAATCTCAAAGAGAGAGCTTATAACCGAATAGGACAATTGCTCTGTGCCCCACGAGGAAGATTCAGTGGCCCCAAACTCACAGAATGAGCTGTTTGGTACAGTTTACAAAAACCCATTTTACATGTGAAATAGGAAGAAAAGGGCTAAAGGTGTAGGGAAAGTGGGAAGGGTAGGGGAAAGGGAAAAAGGGAAAAGAAAAATATGAGAAAACAAAAAATGAAATAAAGTGTTTGTAAATGGGGAGGGGAGGAGGGGGTGAAGGGAGGGCAGGGACAAGGGGAAAAAAACGAGAACCAAGACCTGTCATGTAAAGGTACAAGATCACAATGATGAATGTAACTGTACTGTATACCTAAAATGTGCCAATAAACTCACTGAGAGAAAAACAAAACAAAAAACATTTTACAGATAAAATTTTTTCACATTTCACAGATAAAATGTTTTCACATTTCAAGAGTGAACTTTAACCAGGCATTCTTTCCTAGTAGAATTAGAGGAATCATGGGTTGAGAGAAACCTAACAAGTCAGACATTTAATAGTTTTTCATTCTTTTTCATTCTTCATTACCCAGAGAAGATGTATTTGATGGCAATTAGAATGTTAATAGATATGTTTAAAGTTACAGACTATTTAGTCTGTACAGTGTGTGTGTGTGTGTGCGCGCGCATGTGCAGAGTGCACACACACACACACACACACACACACACATTTTGTCAGTTTTCTAAGCCTAAAACTTGGACTTAACAATCAGTGCATATTATTCAATCAATTTAAGAAGTCATTTGCCATCCTTATATTGAACTTCATACAATGGAGGAAGATGATAATACAGGTAGTTCAAGGGCAGTAATCAGAGAGCAATTTGAATTTTATTTAAGAATGTGTGTATGTTACTGGTTGTGGTGATTTATGCCTGTAATCTCAGCACTCAGGAGGCTGAGGCAGGAGAGTCACAGTTAGTTTGAAGCCTGGGCTACATAATGAATTCAAGGCCAGCCTGAACTACACAGCTAGAAGCTAGATCCTGTCTTGAAAGAAAGAAAGAAAGAAAGAAAGAAAGAAAGAAAGAAAGAAAGAAAGAAAGAAAGAAAGAAAGAAAGAAAGAAAAGAAAAGAAAAGGAAAAGAAAAGAAAAAAATATGTGTATGTATACACTCTCTCTCCTTTTTTTTTTTTCTGAGACAGGGTCTCACTCTGTAGTTGAGACTGACCTGGAACTCACTATGTAGCCCAGGCTGGTCTCAAATTTACAGCAATCCTCCTGCCTCAGCCTCCCAAGTGCTGGCACTACATGCATGAGTCATGTATGTATATACTCTTAAGTCTTATTTGGGTAGTTCAAACATTTCAAATAAATAATAAAGCAACATAAAGGTCTCATCTGAAAAATTACAAAGCTTCTTGCTTTCCCCTCTTGACTACAGTAAAACTAAGTAGAGAATTTGGTTCACTTCTGTTCAACAGGATCATTTGTGTTTGTATCTACTATGAACTGATTAAAGATTTGCAGTAGCAAGTCACCTCTTAACCAGCTTCAGCTTCAAAGGAAGAATTTACAGTAAAAAGAGAGAGCAAGAAGCTGGGTCTAAAGAACAGAATAACAAGGACTAGACAATCACTAGAAATCTCCGTTTGGCTGTCAGATTCATTTCAATCTCTTTATTCTGAAGGACATTTTCTATTTCCTTAGACCACGAGCAGTTATTTATATGTAATAAAACTCCATCAACAAGCTGACTTATAATCTCTGAACTATGATTCCATATTTCTAGGAGAGAGAAACATATTGATCTGGTGTAAGTTGAGTTTTTGTCGCTAGTCCTATTGGCTATAGCCAGTGTGGCAAGATCACAAATGCAGCCATAGCTAAAGGTAAAACATCCCTATAGATGAAGCGATGGTCTCCAGAGACAGCGATTGTCAGGTGGTGAGCCTCTCAAACTCTTTCATAGAAAGAAGTGAGCACTATGGGAACAAAAGAGATGTGTATAACCCCTATCACAATCTCATAAACCTACTTATAGACATGAGGGAGCAAAATGTTGTACAACGATCATGTACTAAAGTGATGGTTCTGTGGAAACATGATGGAACTTGGAAGTCGTGGGTTCAAATCCTGATTCTGGTTCCTAAACCTTATGGTTCCTAAACCTCTGGAAACATGATGGAACTTGGAAGTCGTGGGTTCAAATCCTGATTCTGGTTCCTAAACCTTATGGAGTTTTGAAGAGATGGTCACAGATCCTGCATTTGTGAATCCTCCACAAACATAGATCCTCCATTTTATTTGTAAAATGTAGCTTTTTGTATTGTACTTAAATGTGTTTTGTGATAACTAAATGCAGGATCTACCAGGTGCATGGTACATGGCAGTAGCCAGACTAGAACAGTTTGGTTCATTTAGGATGTGTTATTTATGCGAACATGGCAAAGCATTGGACTATATATTAGAAATAGAATTAAGATATTAGTGTCAGTTGACCTTAAAGAAATCAGTCTGTTAGAGGTGGGAGACACATGGACAGATAATTTAAATAAAATGTAAGTACATTTGTTGACTCTAATTCTAGATGCAACTTGGATTGACCTGGGAAGATTTTATGGAGGTGTTAGGACATGAGCAAGAATTTTCCATATCAAAATGGGGTAAAGCCTGGAGTTGAACTGCCCTACATCTACAAGGTTGAGGGTTCGCATTTTCTCTGTGACAAGGAAGCGAAGTTGATAATTTTAAAGATCTTTTCCAAACACATATTTTAAAAAGGGGGCAAGGGGAATATCAGTACAGTTTTTAAGGTTTTTATATGTAAAGGAAGTTTTGATAATGTACCAGTAGGTAATGGAGAGCATGTTTTCTATGCTTAGGAAAATTAAATCATTTTTTTAAAAGTATACATTTGATTTATTGGTAGAAGTTCAGAAATTTAATGACAAAAGCTAACACTGCATACATTTGTAAACCACCTCTGCTAGATGTATCTGGAAAAAAAGAAAATCTGTAAAGAAAGAAAGCAGAGAGAGAGAGAGAGAGAGAGAGAGAGAGAGACTACCAGCATTTGACTATTTTTAAGTTGCTACTTTGATACATTAGTTAAAGTCTGCCAAAATGATTTACCATCTCAGAACAATTTGTTCACTTCACTTAGAAATTACAAATGTGTTTTCACCAATAAATCTAAATTTATTTTGTAGTAGTCATTTTTCTTAATGGAAGTTTTTTCCAGATGTTGCCTAAGTCTAGTCGTCTGGGCCCTTTTCCAATAAATGAGGAAAGTTTGATTTCATAGGTTGTCACTGTTGATTCTGTCTAACCTTTGGACTAATTGGTTCAACCCAATATATTCGCCCTGCTATATAAGACTTCCAGGACATTGGAGAAATTCATCTATTCTTTTATGGGTAAGTGTCCAAATTAACTTGCTTTGTGGAATTAAATGTATTTTCATTAAAGGTGTTGGGAAAAGGTTTATAAGGGTAGTACTTGGAAACTTTTGAAACAGATCATATTTATTATGCAACTCACCTGTTTGAAGCTTATAAATTTATACTGAAAGGCAAAGAAAAGTTGGAACACTAGCTACATGTTACTTGTTAAATTAAATTTTACTGAAGTTGGTAATTTTTTTTCCTAAGACAGGATTTCAACCTTGCACTGTAAGTACATGCTATACTTTGAATAGAGTTTTAAGATAGGTCTGTTTTCTATTTTGATGATTTCTAAAATATTAAAGGGGTCAATAATATGATTCAAGTGGCATGATAGCTTGTCCTGCATAAGATTAAATACAGATGAAATAAGATTAAAATGAAATATTTTGTATAGAATTTAAGCTGATTAACTTTGAAAGTCTTGTTTTAAGAATGGAGTAGTTTTATTATTAAATTACACTGAAAATTACTGAAACATTTTGTAGAACACACAATATTTAGTGGTGGATTTAAAAAAACAGTTTTGTGATGCTTTTATTCTATCTCCAGTGAGGATGCAGTACCTGAAAACGACCATGGAGTTGAAAATACTTCCCATTTTCTTGTTGCTGCTGCTTTCTGTTTTCTTGATTCAGCAAGCTTCATCTCAAGGTACCTTAACCATCAAAAATTCTTTCATTTAACATCTACTCCTAAGCATTTGGTTAATTTTCACAACAACAACAAAAATAGATTTCTATAAATTTATGTTTGTTTGATTTAACACTTAGTACAAACTTAGCATTGCATAAAACATATGTGGTAATTTATAAGTGTTTTACAATTATCATCTTTAACTCCTGTATCTCAGAATCTTTCAAGAAGTTTTGTTTGTTTGTTTTTTTGTTGTTTTGTGGTTCTGGGGATCAAACCCAGGACCTCATACCTTAGGCAAGCACTTTGCCACTGATCTATATTCCCCAGACCTGAGCTTTTGTATAAAGCACTGTAATTTTGCCAATCATTGCGCCTGTGGGCCTCTCAAAAGTTTGAAAAACAGACATTTGTGTGACTAAACTACGTATCATAAAATTAAATGAAAAGAATGATATTTAAATAACATAATTTTTCCTATATGTTGATAAATAAATTATCCTTTTTCACCTAATAAATTATTGGTAGAAAATTTATTTGGCATCATCTAAATGTTGATTTTGTATTTTACTTTATAATCATAAATGTTCTTTCTTTCTTACAAGGAGTATTCATCAAATATGGATTTATACAGATATGAATGTTATTTTGTATTATAATATTGAGCTACTCGGTCCCCCTCAGAGTCAGTCCTGAATGAAGAACTCCTGTTATTCATTTTTAGAGAATGTTAACATATACTCAGCATAATCACACCAGCCAATGTCTCTAGCATTACGTGTAGGTTGTTCAGTGTTGATAATGTCCAGCTTCAGATTTTCCCTTTTGTTTCCTTTTATGTGCAAAACCTGAGAATAAAAATCAAGACTCATGGCTCTTACCATGAAGTTACATTTCTAAAGCAGACATTTTTGGTAAAATAACCAAAACAACTAAAATTCTCATGAAATCTAAGATATAATTGCCTACAGAGGCTTGGTTGCAGAAGTGCTTTGATAAAGAATGATAGAAAAAACAAGCAAATACAAATATTTAGTTAGGAATGATGACTATTCTGGAATCCCCAGACACTTTGGCTCTCTCATAATGATATTACAAGACTTGCAACACCAGTGCGTTTCTTCACCTTTTCTAGTCTAACACAGCTGGTTGTTTACTGAAAGTTTTACCTTCTTTTAAATAAGCAAAACGTAAAATAGTCATTAAATTTAAAAGCAATGAAAATAGCACAATCTAATCTGTGAAAATTAACTTTTCCCATAAAGATAAGTGAATTCTAATCAGAAATCTGCCAAATATAAAAGAACATTCTTTTGATGCTGTTTTGTGTGCTTCTCTTGCCTTCTGAATTGCCTCCCATTCTTTTTTCATTATATATAATATATGTATGTATATACATACACTATATATGCACTTTTGTATGTACTGTATGTATTCAAAAAGTTCTGAAAGCGATCCTACTCTATTGTTTATGTGCATAATAACACTTAACTTTCCTGGATTCCCTCCTTTAGAGATCTTTTCAGTGTGTTTCAACATTGCTCTGTGGACTTAGGACATTGCACCTACCGATTTCTATTTCAGAGATGAATTTCATTGTTACATTCCTGTGGATTTTTTCACAGAAGCGCTTAATTTCCCTTTGTTGACTTTTAGAAATTGTTGAAGGGCAATTCTACCCTCAATATTGTTTGTTTGTCCAGAAAAGGTCTGTGACAGTTATACTCATGCTGAGACGCTATTTCAAGGGTTCTATATTATCCCTACGAATAAAGGAGATAACAACCTAGTAAAGTCTGTGCAGATATAAAAGGCTTCTTCTAAACTCGTCATCAGAATGAGAGGCAATGTTATTGGGCATAAAATGCTTGGGTTTTGGAATCAGATGAATGAGAGGTCAAATTCTAGATCGGCTGTTTATTTAGGATGACCATATAATTTGCTAGCCACATAAGGGCACTTGCAAGAGTAACATAGGTCAGCACAAATAATTAGCAGGTACAAATATATGTTGGAACTGTTAACTAGTTCTGTGTCATTGAACAAATTATTAAATTTTCTGTTTCAGCTTTTCTTTTTAATCTCTCAAAGGGCTCGTAATAGCCTCCGGGAAACATTTTCGTAAGCATTAGACACAGTGTATGACTCAGAACTGGCACAGCAATGTTCAATGAATGACAACAACTAATCATCATAGCAACAGCCTGCCTCAGTATTAGCCGTAGCTGCTGTCTCTCCCCCAGCACATCACTCTTCAGATTAAGCCTCTACTTCCCCTGATTTTCCACAGTGTACTTATCTTCTTGAGGCGATAAGGAATAAAAAGTCACCATCAGGGTCACGCAAGAGATCAGCCAAGTATCTGCTAGGTCTATCGCCCACCTCCATTCTCAGCTTTTCCAGCCAGTAAAATTTTTCCCACCAATCAGTTTTGTCCTCCTTATTAGGTGTCTTTCTAAAAGTGGTCTGGCCATGTTTACCCTAGTATTGTATAATTTTAGATCTATCAAGCTGTGCAGGGAGATGTGGGGAAGGGTATTCTAGAGATGCCACCTGCAACTGTGACTATAGTTGTCAACACTACATGGAGTGCTGCCCTGATTTCAAGAAAGTCTGCACCACAGGTAAGTCCTGAGAGCGGTGCCTCCTCTGTCAAGAAGGGCTGTTCCCTGAGCTTCCCCTGGCATCCACGCTGTGCTGCTTTCCCTCTGTTTCACTTCCTTTGCTCCAGTGCCTTTCCCTTCACTTGCATAAATGTTGCAGAGCGCTGTTCCTAAGGATGGTATCAAAGCATGGGATTACTGGGAGTGGGGGTGCGGAGACTGGAACGCTTGTCACTTTCACAAAATCGTGGACTAGCTCCAAGTGAAATTTCTTGTTTTAAGTAAATCGTAATTGTAATTCTGTAACAATAACCAGATATGTAATTGCTTAGTGATGGGGCTTTTCCATATTTCATCAAAAGGGTCCAGGGCATAGAATAATCTCATTTATTATTTGACATTTGGGGTATTGACATGTTTCTAAATTACTTGAAAAGGATACTTTTTAATGATGAAGTACTAGTATTTAATAATGAGTTTCAGTTAAAACTCATCAGAGTTTAATATTAAATTGTGACAAATTCCACTTGAACATATTTTGGGCCATTTTGTTTTGACTCAGAGATATTTCATATTCAATATATGAAAGTTATTAAAATTCTACAAAAGTTAGTTTTGCTTTAGCATTTTTGTGTGAAGCTGGTTACTGTATTATGGCACACTTCACTTTAAATATTGGCCTAAGGAATTATTTTAAATGGGTCTTAGGAAGCCTTGCACCTTTGACCGAAACTTGAAATGAACGGGTGTCTTAATATCTTCCATACCAATGGGATTAGGCTATTTTTTTTTTGGTACTGAGGATTGAACCCAGGGCATTTGCACTGAGCTACATCCCCAGACCTGTATAAATGTCTTATTTTGAGACAGGGTCTTGATAACCACTAAATTATCTAAGCAAAGTTTAAACTTGTGATCCTCCCACTTCCCGGAATTCTGGGATTATAGGTGTATGCCACTACACCCAGCCTGAAATCTTTGAACTCTACTCCTGCCTGGTTTGCCATAATAAAAGTCTTTGTATTATAAATATCTCTTGAGCCTGAACAGTGAATCATTTATATATTCAGGCATTTCTAGGTATAAACATAAATACAAATCAATGATGTGAGAAGGAAAGAAGAGAAGGATTTCATATGAAGAATATTTCACTATTTCACATTTTCCAATTTTCTGTTGTCCATAGATGTAAATGACTCAGGAAACCCTGGGGTGTCTAATGGCACCTGGAAGGGCAAGGAATGTTTGCGTATCAGCATTTGTGACTTGGGCTATCTCCATTTGGGGCACCATCTATTTTTACAGATGATATACTCGAAATGCCAAATAGAAGACTTAAGAATGCATCTTTGGTACTTTATTTAGTCAGCTCTCAGATGGGAAATGACTACTAAATATTTGAGTATGGCTTTATAATCAATAACTAATGTTTGTTTTGCTCTGGGTAGAGCTTTCCTGTAAAGGCCGCTGTTTTGAGTCCTTTGCCCGAGGAAGGGAATGTGACTGTGATGCCCAGTGTGAGAAGTATGGCAAGTGCTGTCCGGACTATAGCAGTTTCTGTGCGGAAGGTAAGCATCCTGGTAGCAGTCATGCTTCTTAGCACAGCCTTATCTGTGCACTGCCTTGGGTTGACTGATACTGTCTGACAGGTGCTTCATCGTGATATTGAATGTACTAATGTATAAGCTACTCTGTAATAATTTTGCTTCATAAGGATGACCTGAAGAAGAAAAGAAGCTTCTGCAGCAGCATCCCTTGGCTTGGCAAGGCTCTGGGAGCATAAGATGGAGGATAAGGGCTGAATGTATAAGCTTTTTTCTTCAGATGTGCTTTAATTTCGGGTTAAACCAAAAATAATCACATCTTCCTCAATGATTTCTTGTTTCAACCTCATGGTTCTGATTCCATGAAGTCAGCTATCCTTTGAGCTACATATATTTGGATCTGAATATTTGAGTATGAATTTAAGGACAGAATTGACACAGCTTTTCTGGAAAAGTAAATTTGTACATTAGCTTAAGCCACTAAATTTGCATGCACATGTGCCAAGAACGAACTGTCAATTAAATGTCCCTTTCCATTCTGAAGTCCCCTCAGCACTATCCAGACAGCTGTCTGTCATGATATGATCTATAAAAAGGGCTGGCCTCATTTAAAATCTCCTCTGGTCGAGACCTCTCCTCTGGTTGAGACCTAAAGAAATATTCTAATCTAAATCTCCAGATATCCCCACAAATATTTTAAAAATATATTTAAATAATAGATTTCTTTACTCAAGTATTTGTTCTTACTCTACTTTGTTTTAAAAAGAAAAAGAATATTTATGAAGGAAAAAGTAAAAATAAGCAGTTTACATAATCTTATCATTTTATTGAAACAAGGCTGTACCTCCTGCTTCTTTAGACCAGTGGAGAAATAGAGTAGAAAACTACCAGCAGAGTTGAGGGATGTTTAACTGGTCAGTGTTTTCATTGGAAAGCATTCCAAAAACAATGGAGACAACACCCTTATAATCAAAGCTCCAGAGATCAAGCATTCCTGCAGCTTTCAGAAGGCCCCATGATGGAAGATATGTATTTACTCATTACCTTGATAATTGTTCTGGCTGTGAGACAAAGATTAGCTAAGAATTTATTTTTGGCAGAGGAGGGGTGGGGAAGCAAGATGGTTAGAAAATGACGAAGTACGGAGAGAACATTTTAAGAAGGACAGTATTTTATTCTACAAAGTGCTGCTATACCTGAGGTTTAGGTAAAATTTGGTGTAAATTGCTGAATGCAATGCGGTGCAACTTCGTTTACAGGGCTCATGGAGATAGTTGGAATCCCCACTGAAAATAAAGGAACTATGCACAGCTTCAGTACTTCACTCAAAAAAAATTACCTTGTTTCAGGGTTGCTATAGATACTGTTTATAGGCATCGATATATATATATATAAATCTTAACATTTCAAGAATTGAAGGTATCACAACTGTCCAAATGTCTCCTGTTTTGCCCCAAATCACTAACTAGTACCTGTCAAAAATGTTATTCAAATTGGGATACAGTAGTGTACTTGCATTTTTGCTGGTTGAGAGAAGAGGAAGAAGTACAGTGGGGTCAGCACATGAAGACTACGGCAGCGGAGTTCTGAGGCACTGCTTGGTGGGAGCGGCAGGGTTTATCACAACTCTTCTCTACCCTGAGTCTCCACTGCCCTGTTTTCTTATCTTTCAAATGCCCTCCCCCTTTCTTCTGGTTCCTAGGGATTACAAAATAATGTTCCATGTCTTCATGTCTAGAAAAGAAAAGGAATTGGTAGATGGGATGTGAACAAAAGGTTAAGAATATACACATCACGCTATTACCAGCTGTTTATTGGGAAGGGCAACACTCTAAGCGAAAGCATTAATAGGCAGGTGTGAAATTTTCAGAATGATACTCATGTAAAACTTTCATAATAAAAGATAAACTGGTATTCTTTGATTTGAATACATATTAGAGTAAATATATTTTTGCTTTCTTACAGTAGTGAGCTTGAACTGAGGGGCTTGTATATGTTATGCAAGCACTCTACCACTGAGTTACATAGCCAGAACTTTAAAAAGTACTGTAAATTTATTTATTTACCTATTTTTACAGTGCTGAAGATTGAGTTTTTTGAAACAAAATCTCATTTATGTAGTCCAGGATGGCCTTGAACTTGCAACCTCCTGCTTTATCTTCCCAAGTGCTAGGACAACAGGGTAGTGCCACCATGCCTGGCCAGGTGCTAAGGATTAAACCTCTAGGGCTTCACACATGTGAGGCAAGCACTCTACCACCAAGTTGTATGCCCATCCCTTTTTAAATTTTGGGGACATGGCCTCACTAAGTTGTTCAGGTTAGGCTTGGATTTACAATCCTTCAGCTTCAGTCTCCTGCATTGTGATTCTTACCTTTTATTCTTTGAGAAAGGGTCAGAAAAAACTTATTATTATATTCTTCTGCTCAAGAGCATGAATATCCTGTCATCCACAAACATCAGTCTTTTTTTTTAAACATTAGTCTTTACAATCATGAAAATGTGGCTGAACAACGGAAATGCATGGAATCAAGTATGTTTTAGGTGGGCAAACACCTTCAGAAATCATCTTGAATAAACACCTCACTTTGCAGTCAAAAAAAAAAAAAATGAAGTTCAAAAGAGGTTAGCCTATTTGCCTAAGGTTAAAATAGTAAAAACATTCAGGCATAGAACAGGAATTTAACTCCATTGTTTCCTGAGACTTTGCTTCCTGCTGTAACTAACTTACAACAATATGAGAATCAGTATTTTGTAGGAATGAATCCTTAGAATTAATTGATTTGGACCTGTGTTGGGCTACAGCCTTCCTGTGCTGGTTTTTAATATATGTGCTGCCAAAGGGAGCACTCCTGTGCTGGCTTTTACCAGCATCTACTCTTCGAACTAGATGCATCTGTGCTTTTCACAGTTAGCATGCTGATGAATATAAACTAGACGTTAACCAAACTGTCTTGCTTGGCCTCAGTGCACAATCCCACACCACCTTCAAGGGCTGCACCTCCGCCTCCAAGAGCATCTCAAACCATCAAATCAACCACCAAACGTTCACCCAAATCACCAAAAAAGAAGAAGACTAAGAAAGTTGTAGAATCAGAGGAAATAACAGAAGGTAGGAAGATGGCAGATGGAACTACAGATTTCTGAGATGAAATTACCTGTAGGTGAACTACCTATATGAATATTCTCAGAAAGTAATGATTCATGAAAGAATCATTAGATTTGTTGTTTTGTTTTGTTTTTTGGTTTACAGTACTTAAGTAAAAATTCAAGCTAAAGAACATCTCAGGTATTTAGTCTTTATTTACCAAACGCAACATAGGTCTAAGTGAAAGAAATCAGAAGGGATGGATCTTACTATAAAAAATAAAAAAACTCATGATTTTCTTTGGAGAGTAATTAGATTCTGTGAGAAATTTTGGCAGCTGTGAGAAACTCAAGTGTTATATTGCTAGTGTGTGTGATAAGCTCAGGTGCCTTGTTATTAACCAACAAATCCAAAAGGCATTTGATCATATTACCAATAAAATAAAAGCAGAAGCTTTTTTTTTTTTTTTACAAGCTTTTTGTAGATCAGTTATCATCAATTCTTAATGTATTTGGAATGGCGTTTTTTAAAAACACAATTGGTGTGATCATACTTTTTATTTGATTTATAGAACATTCTGTTTCTGAAAACCAAGAGTCTTCCTCCTCTTCTTCTTCCTCTTCAACTATTCGGAAAATCAAGTCATCCAAAAATTCAGCTGCTAATAGAGAATTACAGAAGAACCCCAAAGGTTTGAGCATTGATAAAGATCAAAGACTGTATCAATGCCACATTAATAATTTTGAAAAGTAATGCGTGTTGGTAGGCTGATTTGAGATTATCTCGGTATTTGCACATGGTAGATAACTTTATAAAACTCCATTTAGAAAGTACCAAATGAATACTTTCTATAAGAAATAAATGCCAAGGTGTTAAGAGGGCACAGCTGAAAGCAAAGGATAAGAAAATGCTGCGACAGGCTAGCAGGAGTCATTGTTGCGGTGTTCGACTGCAGTTCCTGTCCTGATCGTTTGGCTTTCTTCTTCCACTATCATCCTTGGGTTTTCAGTTTTCCTTCCCCAGCTTTATTTCATTTAACAGTTATATGGTGCTTTAAATGTTTTAAAAATATTAATCCATTCAATTCATATAAGCCTCAGTGGAATCATTATGTATATTTTATAAATCCTCTTTATTATTTCCCTAATAAATTATGACTGGATTTCTAAGGAATTCTATTTCCTAGATGGTTTGATTTCCTCTGAAGCATTCTCTCTAGCTGAATAGCCAGATATTAAATCTTTTGTCACTCAAGAATATTATATGCAGTAGAAATGTATCTGTTTGATAAATGGAATTTATCACGAAGTGCCCTTTGGGCATTGTAGCTCAAGCAGAGAAAGCTTCAAGAGAAATCTTCCTTAACAGTCTATTTTCTGCCCTGGCATCCTAATATAATATCATCCCTAGACTATCAAGTTTAGCTGGGCAGAGGAAAGACAGCAGCTGATAGCTCTGAAGTAGCTGGTGTGGGGACACTAGAAGATGTTGGAACCAGGTTTCCTTCCAGGAAGATGCGGCAGCCCTGAGTGGTGAGGATAAGGATGGAGAAAGCGAGGGGTGAAGGACATTAATATAAAAATATGAATTAGTGTTATTGATCACTTTGGTGATTGCAGGACACTGGCTACCATGTAGAGTATTAACTGTACAGGGTTTTAGTTGTGCATTACTCATTCACCTCTAAAACATCCCCAAAAGATAACTTGAGTATTTACCATTTTACAATAAAATCAATGGACATAGTAAAGGTTAGCAATTTATCCAGGCACTCACAACTAGTTAATGGTAAGGACGAGATCTTTATGCTACTACTAAAAGAGAAAAAGCTATTAAAAATAACAAAATGTTATTTTTTTTCCTAATAAAAGATAAGAAAAGAACTCCCCAAAAGGAACTTAATCCAGAACCATCAGTTGTAGATGACACTGGAAGTGGACAGGACAGTGGTGACTCCAAGCCCACTCCAGCCCCTGTTGCTACCACCCAACCCAATAAAGTAACCTCATCACCCAAGAGTACAACAGTAAAACCAGTAAATCCTAAACCCAGCCTGCCACCTAATTCTGATATAGCCAAGGAGACACCTTCATCAGCCAATGAAGGGGAAACAGTTAAAACTACAGAGTCCACTGAAACAAATAAACAGTCTTCCACCAGTGCAAAAAAGACTTCAACCAAAGAGACACGGAGTTTAGAGAAAACATCTGCCAAAGATTCTGTACCCACATCTGAAGTTCCTGCTAAACCTACACCCAAAGCTGAAACTACAACCAAAGCTTCTGCTGTGACCACCCCCAATAAACCTACCCCAACACTCAAGGAAACAACTCCTACCACATCTAAGGAAGCTGCACCCACTACTACCAAGGAACCAGCTCCTACCACCCCTAAGAAGCCTACACCTACTACCCCCCAGGGAATGGCTCCTACCATCCCTGAAAAGCCTCTACCCACTGCTAACAAAGATCCAGCTCCCACCACCCCCAAGGAGCCCGCACCAACCACCACCAAGGAACCAGTGCCCACCACCCCCAAGGAGCCTGCACCAACCACCACCAAGGAACCAGTGCCCACCACCCCTGAGGAGTCTGCACCGACCACCACCAAGGAACCAGTGCCCACCACCCCTGAGGAGCCTGCACCAACCACCACCAAGGAACCAGTTCCCACCACCCCCAAGGAGCCCACACCAACCACCACCAAGGAACCAGAACAGACCACCCAAGGAACC